TCTCTATAACTTTGAATATTTTAATGTCACAACATTTTCTCTATTACTCATCTCTTCTAAAACTTTTTTCTCAATTTTAATTTACATGACCAAATTTTAATACTTTCTTTATCTATTTTAACTAGTCCTTTAATAAAATGATTTAGTCATCTCACTTCTTGTTTGGCTTAAATTATTTTTATGAAGTTGATTAAAGTTATTTTTATTTTTAATATAGTACTCTCTCTATTTGGAAAAAGTGTTCCTCTTTTGACTTTGTGTAAAAATAAGGAAGTATTAAATTGTAGTTGATTTCCAATTTTGCCCTTGATGTGATAGGTAAAGTAAGATGTGATGGATAGATTATTAGAGATAAAGTATGATGTGATAGGTAGGGTATGAAAAAGTAAGGGTAAAAGCGGTTTTTTAATAGAAAGTGAACGTGTTTTGTTTGAAGTGAAAAAAAATGAAAGAATAAGTGTTTTTTGAGAACGGATGGAGTATATAATTATTAAGGAAAATGTGAGTAATAAAATTTAGATATTCAAAAACTATATAATTTTTTTTACTCCCTCCGTCCTAATTCTTTTTTCCCAGTTTGACTTTTCCCCATTTTTAATTTTTGGTTTTGACTTCAAATTTTACCTCCTTAAAAAAGATTTTTTGAAATTTTTTTTTGCAATCATTCAAAATATAGAGTTAGAAGATAATTGGTGTAAATACATGAGGGTATTAATGTTATTTGTCATCTTTTTTTTCTAATGGGAAGGTAGTTTTAGGACGGAGAAAAAGGGGAAGTGGGAAGAAAGTTTTAGGACAGAGGGAGTAATATATAAGATGTGACATACATGACTATTTTATATTTTAAATGAGTAGTGAAAATATGTAAATAAAGTAAATAAAGTTTAAATATATACTCGTACAAAATACATGAGCAATTTATTTTTAGACAGAAAGAGTATTTTAAAAAAATATACTACCTCCGTCCCAGAGTATTTGTCCACTTTCATTTTTATACGATATCCAATACACTTCTTTAATCCATTTTATCTTGTAATTTGTATATTAAAAAATTATAGAACTTATATATTAATAATCTATATGTTAAGACAAATCAAATAAGATCACACATGACTATATTTAGGCTTACACATTGAGAGAATTTGATGAGTCAAAGTTCTTAGATGAACAGTTTCAAAAGTCAAAAGTGGACGAATACTCCGGGACGGAGGGAGTATTATATACCATATACTCCCTCCGTCCCTAAATAAACTTCCCTATTCGTTTTTTCTTTGTCTCCAAATAAACTTCTCTTTTCCCTTAAAACAACTCCTTTTACCCTTATTTTTTCATGTTCTACCTATCACATCATACCTTTTTACTAATAATCTACCTATCACATCTTATTTTTACACATCACATCAAAGATATTTTTGGAAAGTCAATACAAAAATATCTCTCTCTTTAATTCTCAAAAAGTCAAAAGTGGAAGTTTATTTAAGGACGGAGGGAGTATTATACTCCTCGTGCTAAGGGATCCTTCGTGTTTTGCCTTTTCACCTTTTTTGATTACAAATTAAACATAATTTAAATGAATAAATGTTATAAAAGATTAAAACTTCATGTCTTATAAAACTTTTCAAAGAAGAAAAATGGGGCGCTCCAAAAATGTGTAATCTTGATATTATTTTTTAAGTATGACTCATCTATCATACACATCATATTTTACCTTATTATAAAGTGAGGCCAAATTCCTCTTGTACCCTCTATAGTTTGAAAAATGGGCAATAAAATCACCTCTATTTTCAAAAATTTTTTCTAAAATATCATATGGTTTTAAAAACTTTAACGCACACTCCCTCTAATCATTTTAGGATCATTTTTCGGACTTCTTCCGACAAAGAGCAGGCATGCGGCATAGGTTTCTATTTTACAAACCACATGGGGCAATAGAGCTAATTTCATATTTTTCATTTTTTTTTGTTTTTTCTCCTTTTTAATTTCTTTTTTCATCTCTTTGTTTCCTTTTTAGAAAAGGTTTTTTTAAAATTTTTATTCTATTTGTTAATAATATTTTGAAAAATTTATTATTGTTTGTGTTTCAAATAAATATAAGAAATTAAAATATGGCACATACTCCATCTATCTCAAATTGAACATTTTGAATTTTTTGTTTTCTAGAATAGAAAATAGGAAGTTAAAAACAGAAAATTCAGAATAAAATAAAAATAAAAAGTGGAAAAGAAAAAGACAAAATAGAAACATAAAAAAATACTTTTATACATAAAAGAATTTTCTAAACGTCTAAAAAAAGTTATTAGGAATGCAATGTCCTAAAAGTAATATTCATTTTAATTTTTTGTTCTATTTTATTTTCTGTTCCTCTTTTTTTAATTCCAAAACAAAGGTTTACTATTAAATTTTGGAAAAAAATAATAAAAAAGTGCAGTATATCTTGATTATGTTTTATTGAAACAAAAAAATTTAAATTTAAGAACAATATAAAAAATTAAAAATAATGAATAAACCATGATAAATAAAATAAACAATTTGAAATGAAGATACTCCGTATTTATGAAGGAAAATAGAGAAGAAACGGATGCAAAAAATATTGGGAGTTTGGGACTCATTAAAATGAGGTGGAAAGGAGAGCCACGTGTCTGTATGTTATTGAGACATGTATGAAGTGTTTCAAAACCCTCTTTTTACAAATTGCACGGAAGGAATCGCCGTGAATCATACCTTCATTATTCAACAAAACTAATTATTATCAAATTTTATCAGTTAGAAAAAAACCAAGATTTAAAAAGTTCATAGTAGTATTATACAAAAAAACTTTAGGATTTTAAAATTTAATTAATAAACATGTTTCAAAATTTAATTAAAACTATTCCAATTCTTTAAAAAATAGCTCCGAATTGTGATCTTAACCTAGAAAAAATAAAATATATGGTTCGAGCTTGGTATTGAATATTTTAAAATCAAAGATTTGTTATGTTTTGACATGAACTTATATAAATATTTCTCATGCCGCTAATAAATAAGGGTGAACACCTGTCCAATACCAGACTGGACCGACTCAGAACTTAAAAAAAACAAAAAACTAGAATCGAGTAAAAGGTATGTCCATAATCCGGACCTAAAAATTGCTTGTCTAGACCAGTTATTTTTCGGGCCCGTATAGTTTTAGATCAAAAAACCTGGAATTTTTTTATTTTTTTAAATTTTTTCTCAAATCATTTTAAATTGTTTTTCGACAACGTAGCTTGATTTGAATTTATTTCAATCCTACTTTTTTTCTATCCATTGAGCGTATATGAAGAAATTATATTAATGTAAAATACTTTCATCAACATCATGATAAGTTTAAAATTAATTTTATAGTTTCATTCATTTGTAAGATTTTAAATATATTATAAAGTTGTACTTTAAAGTATTTCTTTTTATCCAAGAATAAGTTAGATGGTAAAATATCTAAATCTCTAAATTGAAATGTGCATCATACTACATTTTTAAAAAATTAATTCTAGTTTTTTTATGGAGATTATGTTCTTGCTGAAAATGTCAACGATTGTAATGTTAGAAAGTCATGAAACTGAAAAAATAAATACATATTGCATTTAAAAGATTATATTAAAATAAAAACAAAAAATGAAAATACAAAGTTATATTTATTAGAATAAATCTAGTTTTTTTATAGAGATTCTTTCTTAAATGTTAGTGGTTGTAATTATAAAAAGTAATGAAAATGAATAAAATAGTACTCCCTCCGTTTCGAAAAACACTTCCCATTTGGATTTGGGGCAAAAATAAGGAAGTGTTAAATTATAGTTGATTTCCAATTTTGCCCCTGATGTGATGGGTAAAAGTAAGATGTGATGGATAGATTATTAGAGAAAAAGTATGATGTGATAGGTAGGGTATGAAAAAGTAAGGGTAGAAGTGATTTTTTAATAGAAAAGGGAAGTGTTTTGTTGGAAGTGGAAAAAATGAAAGAGGAAGTGTTTTTGAGAACGGAGGGAGTACATATTACTCCGTAAATGATGATGTAAAAGTAAGAGCAAACAAATGAAAATAAAAAGTTGTATTTATAATCACATTTCATACGTATTAAAAATGAAAAAAAAGTAGAATAAATACTTTTCGGTCTTACCGGTCTAACGTGGAAAGTATACTATATGGGCCAGAATGGGCCCAAATTTAACTGGTCTTTAGTCTTTAGACCGGAGACTGGTCCTGAATTTTACTTGTCTAGCCCGAAACTGGTTTTTCCAATCCGGCCCGATCGGACCTAGATTTTATACACCCCAACTAATAAATAAAATATTTTATAAATTTATAACATATTTTTTTGGTTTTTTAAAAATTAAGATCCAATTAAATTTTTTTAGACTTTTGTAGAATTCCTAATGACTTTATAAATTTTAATTGAATGGAGTTATGATGCAATATATATCATACAACCTGCTGTACGTTTTTTTCCCATACATTCGTATTGGGTACTTATTTACGTTTAACTGATACTCATTTTTGAACAACTTGATGCTCGAAAATAAGTATTTAGTTACTTAAAAATAAATTTTATGTTGCACGAAAATTAGTATTCAATTAGTCACAATGAGTTTTCAACACATGCATAAGAAATATCATATATTCGGATGTATTGTGAAAGGATAAAAAGTAAATTCCATGAAAGGTCCACAGTTATATTTTCTTTTACACATTTAGTTTCTATATATCAAATATCAATAATTTAGTTTTCAATTATTAAATTATTTTCCACGAATGGTCCTTTGTTAACATTTTTGTTAAAAACGTTTGATAAAATTGTAAATTCACGCTCCTCTCTCCCCAATTAATTCCTCTCTCCTCTCGCACTCCTTTCCCAAATTTGTCATTGAGTCTGAAGTTCTAAATCCAAGGCTGAAAACGATTACTCCTCTCTCAATTGCTCATCTTCTCGGTGGAACTCAAAATTGAAGACAATAACCTTCATGAATGAGTTTTATAGGTTAGTCTCAAGAACATTCAAACCGGGTCTGTTTAGTAAAATGAAGGAATAAAAAAATATTCTCCGAAGATGCTTCTCCTCCTCTCTATAAAAGAAGGGGTGCCCTCAAAGTTAAGGGGAGGCCAAATCACTTTCTCCCCTGCCCACTATACTTTCTCTCTCTAGCATTTTATAGTTTTTGTTCTTCAATAAGCTTTTAAGCTTCCATTAATGACTTCCGAGCCCGATTCTTGTACCGTGTACACATCCCCGATATCAATAAAAATCCCCCGTTGGCAAGGTACCGCCAAAAAAGGCCCGTGGTTTTCTCCCGACTTGGGTTTCCACGTAAAAATTCCCGTGTTTATAGTTTGGTGTATTTTTTAGACTAGTTTATCGTTTTTGCCGGGCTAAAACGATATACCGGTCGATAATTTACACCATCATTTTGGCGCCGACTGTGGGACTAGAACAAAAGGCTCTGTTTTTGTTCGGCCATCCTACACAACCTATACTATCCTACCAACAAAAGCAAAAAAAGAGAGGAGAGTTTTTGAGTGTCAAAGAGAGAAACTCCCAGAAAAATTGCCAATTAATGTTTAGCCTATATGAACACATAGCAGGTGCTCTATTCTTATGTTTTACAAAAACTAATGGGAGAAAAAGAGCATCAGGTTGATGCGGCTAAAGCAAAGCACTCCCATAGCTTTTAGCTAATGTTCTTCATCGCTAGCTATGGCCAAAATCTACCATCAACGCACCACCAATGTCGTCGCCATTACAGTAGAGGACCATTGGGGCAATCGATGAAGCCTTCATCGTTGTTGAAATGGAGAAGAAGATGGCTACATTGCAGCCACAATGTAATCGGCATGGTTGCGCTGTACGGGCCAAATATATCAACGCTCTTATTTGTTGCCGCCTGAATTGAGATCCCTTAGAATCTGCTTTGCTAAGACATCACCGTTGAGGTCAACCACCACCAATTGGATCAATCTCTGTTCGATTACATTGACATGGCCTCTGGAAAACGCCGCCAAAGTTGATGAATAGGGGCCGGTTGTCGCTGGAGGACTTGTCCCACAAGTCTCCGGTTGCAAAAGACAGGTCCACCTACAGGCGTCGTCGCTGAAAGGCACCATGCCGCCGCCACTGTTGGAGTCCCCGCCACCGTTTTTGATCCTCACGGCCGCTGCAATGTTTCCATTGAAGCCATCCAACCACGGAAGACTCCAATTTCTACTCAATTTCGTAGCTGACACTCCCACCGCTGGAATCTGGTCATTTTCGCACTTCAAACCAACCGCCGCTGCTCAGGTTCGCCGCCGCCGATGCTCAGACTCGCCGCCGACCACTGCAAGAACTTCCGCTACTTTCGAGGTTGAAGAGGAAGAAGTAGGGTCGGCTACATATTCACGCCTCCCTTTGATTCCTCTCGAGGAGGAAGAAGACAAACACGGAGGAGCAACGCAACCGGCCAAAAAAAGAAAAAGACAGAGGAAACTGCGCCGAAGGAGGAAAGAGATATCATCCAATTTTTCCTTGGAAATGCCTTAGTGGAGGCATGTGTTGATGGGCTTTGCTCTTTCTATCTTTTCTCTTGTCCTCACGACAGGATTTGATCAACAAGGAGGTGGCCCTGTATGGTCATCTCAAACGAAAAAAGAGATATGGAAAGCTGCCAGCCAAGAAAATGAAACATAAGCTTTGGTCCAAAAAAATCCAGTGGGCTATGCGGGGTGACTCCCTCATTTATCTTCACAGTGGATCCCACCACTTAATTATGTTTGGTGGGAGAGCATACATTGAATACTACGGAAGTAATTCCTCACTTATTTCTCAAGGGGGGCCCACCACCAACATTTGGTGGAATGAGTTAGCATTATGGAGCAATAATTTGGGTATTTGCACATATCTTTTGGACGAGTTCGGAGGGAAGATTGGGACACAGGCCCGGACCTGGTACGCAGGTTACTACACCGGTCTTGCTCAGTATAAAATAAAAAAATATTAAACCCGGAAGAGGGTATGCCTGCAAGAGGGCTGGACCTGGAAGAACGTTCGAACCGTACTTACACGGGCCCATGAGGTTTGACCGGTATCGGGGAATCAGCCGAGACTGGCAAACTGATTGGGGACTAAAAGATGCCCATTAAAAGAAATAGAAGAGGGATCGTCCACCATGGCGCATCCTATTTCCCCCTTCTCAGGGAAGACTTGAATGGGGGGTGAGCTAAGGCCTTCCCGGGATAGTAAATATCAAAGGGCCATTAAAAGACTTAATCACCCGGAAGAGGGGGCCCTGGAAGAAGGGTGCATTTTGGGCTTGGAGAGGGCTCGAAACCATCCGACATGGTTAATTCTCCAATGTTGATCTGGCTCGGCCAGCAGCATTATCTTATTGGAAGACTGAAACACATGCCTGGCCTGGCATGCTGGTTACTACACCGGTCTTGCTCAGTATAATAAAGAAAATATGTGACCCAGTCGAACTGGTACACTGGTTTCACACCAGTCTTACACATATTTTCCAATAAGCCTGAGCCCAATCGAATTGGGTACACCGATTGCACATCGGTTTCAGCAAAAAAGTGAGCAAAGCTCATATCGGGGACGCCCAATTCATTTAAGCCCTCAATCTGAGGCACTTTGATCGAAGATGGTCTCCGCGAGACATGAAGATATTTACATCAGTCAGCCGGGCTAACACTGATCTTCAACAAAGCTACCGCGTCGGATTCAATTCTTATTAACTAAGGTCGTTGTCATTGGTATACTAATTTCGTCACGCATCGTTTGCTTGACTCGTATTAACACCGACCTCGACGAAATAACTTTTCGAAGCATCGTTGCTTTATCGAACTGACATTGCTCTCGTTACGATAATTATTCGCGCAAATCTTAATCATCTAACACTGAGCTCCTCGGTAAAAATAATAATTTTTTGAGCACGGCATAGGCCGGTCAAAAAAAAATGTTGTACAAATTACTTTTTGCAGGAAAAAACTTCTGATTCAAGAAATTAGAGAATTAATGAAGACTCGGAGGACTAGCAATAATATCTACCGGTCAAGAATTCAAAGTACGAAGACAGAAGATCATACTCGGAGGACTTGTTTACTTTTTTAAGTTGATGATTCTCACAACTCAAAAAAGTGGAAGACTTCTTGATGGGAAATAATACGTGGCTCGGCCCACATTTCCCAATTATTTACGAAAAACAGTCAAACCGGGTCTGTTTAGTAAAATGAAGGAATAAAAGAATATTCCTCCGAAGATGCTTCTCCTCCTCCCTATAAAAGAAGGGGTGCCCTCAAAGTTAAGGGGAGGCCAAATCACTTTCTCCCCTGCCCACTATACTTTCTCTCTCTAGCATTTTATAGTTTTTGTTTTTCAATAAGCTTTTAAGCTTCCATTAATGGCTTCCGAGCCCGATTCTTGTACCGTGTACACACCCCCGATATCAATAAAAATCCCCCGTTGGCAAGGTACCGCCAAAAAAGGCCCGTGGTTTTCTCCCGATTTGGGTTTTCACGTAAAAATCCCCGTGTTTATAGTTTGGTGTATTTTTTAGACTAGTTTATCGTTTTTGCCGGGCTAAAACGATATACCGGTCGATAATTTACACCATCAAAGACGAACAATAGAAATTAGCCTAAATAGGACTAAAACATAGATAAAAGTACCAAAATAGGACTTTCATGTTTTTTTTTCTGAAATAATACTTTGCACTGTGGTAATGTGACTTTGCCTTGTTGTAATGTGACAGTGTACATGTGCAAATTACTATACGTTTTTAGTAATGTATATGACCATGTATGGTAATGTAAGTCCTATTTCGGGAATAAAAACATGGAAGTCCTATTTTGGTATATTTTCAATGTTTTAGTTCTACTTTGGTCTTTCTCCCGACGAACAATTGAGAAGGGAGTGATGATTTGAGTTTTGGGTTCAAAGCTTCAAACTCAGCGACGGGTTTGGGAAAGGAGTGCGAGAGGAGGGAGGAAGCTTAATTAAGGAGAGAGAGAAACGTGAATTTACAATTTTATCCATATTTTAACGAAAATGTTAACAAAGAATTATTCGTGGAAACAATATAATAATTGGAGACTATATTGATATTTAATATGTAAAGACTAAATATATAAAAAAAAATTATAACAAGAGACCTTTTATGAAATTTACTTAAAGATAAAGTATTTAGAATTATGGACTTCATAAAGTCTAAACTTTTGTTTAAGTGAGAATAGAAATATTGAATTCGATGCCTACACCCTAGACCTGATCAAACAACGGGCCGGGCCGGGTTTCGGGCCGGGCCAGGACGCTAAATAACAAGCTTTCTTTCGGCCCGAGCCTGGCCCGGCCCGGAATACGGGCCTATTATTTAAACCCAAGCCCGGCCCATATGAAAGCCAACGGGCTTCGGGCCGGCCCGGCCCGCTAAATTAATAGAAAGGCTTGATAATGGAAATATTTTAATCACACCATTCACACTGCATCTGTTAAGCAACTACCCCCAAAATGAATTTTAAAAAATTGAATTGTTCAATTCAAAACATAATATTATATTTACATAAATAGTAAACGAAAAATCAAAGTGACACACGGTGAAGGAGGTAGATTTGACTTACTCTAAATACCGATCGGGATGAAGAAAATGAAGAAAGCCGCAAATAATGAACAGAGAACCTGGCCGGGAAGCTCGGATGGAGATTATCTAAGAAAACCGCAAATAAGAAGATGAAGTACGAAGGCTGGGTAATTTAAGTGGGCTATTAGCCCATTGAAGAAATAATGCTCCCGTACCTTTGTTTTTTTACATGTCCAGTAACTTGGATTCTACAAAGTATAAATAGTGTATTATTTGAATCGGGTCGGGCCGCCCGCGGGCTCAAATTTCAAAGCCCATACCCGGCCCTTATTATTTACGGGTACCCGGAAATTACGGGCCGGGCCAGCCCGCACTTGATTACTCTAACCCAAGCCCATACTTTTCCGGGCGGGTTTTTACGGGCCGGGCGGGTACCCGGGCCCGTGATCGGGTCTACATACACCCCCTTAGAATTATTCCTGTTAAAGAATATTTATTTGCCAGTTTCGACCTGATAGATTCATCGACAGAGAGTCTTTAGGCCATCAATGGAAGCTGCTTCCTCTACAGTCCTGAATAATCTCCACAATCTTACTGTTGCTACCAAGCTCTACACAGTTCCCAGAAGAAATCTTTTCCCTCTTTCGTTTTCTCTTACAACGCCAAGAGCTTTGGGCCTTCGGAGTGGTGGGGTGCGATTCAATGGACCTATCAGTTGCTCCAGTTCTAATGCTCATCAAAGCCCATCCAAGCAGCTCGCTCTTCTATTTGAAGTTGAAGGGTAACCTTTCTTTTTTCCCTGGTGATGTGTATTTATTCATTTTTCTGTAAAGTTACTGTTTTCCCATATTGTTTTTAAAAGTGTAATCGCAATCTAATTGGGAATTTGAGTCAAGTTTTAATAATTTGGTTTTAGTACAAAATTAGTTTTGCTGATCAGAGTACTAATTTGTCCTGATGTTGTTACTTGTATAATGTTTCTCATTGCACTCTGTGGTGGCTTAGATCACAGTTTGAAGTGATTTTGAGTGGTTGACTTTTTATAGCATTTCATGGTAGATCTTACCTTTAGTTTTAAAGATTTGGGGGAAAGGGGAATTTCATTGCATAATTTGTCGGGTTACAAACTATAGGAAGATACAACAAAGACATGACTTCTATTCAGAATTTTGGCTCTTATTAAAAACTGGTTCTATAGGTTCAATTTAAAGATTTTGGGTCTTTATTTTAAAGATTATTATAATTTATAAAGGGCAACGGGTCGGGCAGTTTCGATGTGTATGTTAGAGAAGGAAGAACTTGGATAAATAATTGTTCTTTTAATGTGAATCACAACCAATAATTACCGCAGTTTTTATTGGTTTAGTTGATCATATTTATACATAGTTATGTATCGTTGAATCCCCAAGGTGATTAGCATTTAGGTAATACTGCAAGTGAACTTGATCTCACTATCATGTACTGAATGCTGAAACACATTCACAATGACATGGCATTCTGTTTTATTTCGTTTCTAAACATTTTGTTGGTCTTGTTTCTCAAAATGCCATCTTTTGTTCTCAACTTTGTTTTACATTTATCTTAATTAAATTCTCCTCTTAGTCTCTTCTGCATTCCGTGCAATTCAGGGTACTGATGGATATCTACTGCTTCGGAAACCGGCAAGCATTCAATGCAGGTAGGGTTCTTTTCCAGAACTGATGAAATGCAATCAAACACTCTTGGTGTAGGTGTTCCATGTAAAACCACTTCTTCTAAAGATCTATCAGTTCATGAGTCTACTGTGTTGTGTCTTTCTAATTTAAGCATTTCGGAAGCTTGGATTGGACTGTGCAAGTTGGACTCAACCAGTTTATCAGGATCTTGTAAAGTATGATTCTTTATATATTCCCAGTATTTGTATGTGTTCATTTCATCTTGTATTATGAAAAGTATGAATCAGTGGTATAACATCATTAATACGGAGTATATAATAGTTTCATTTCAGGAAGAGCTTTGGTGATGAGGAGAGGATGTTGATGTTGTATTTTAACAGGGTAAGCTGTGTAACCTTTGATGTTCACATCTTTCTAATTCAAGGATCAAGTCAATGTTTACAGTTTTCGGCAATCCGTTTATGGACTTTTGAAGAGAAATTTCACTCTGCAGATTGGCTGGCCAACATCGCTACCTACAACCGAGAAGGAATCTTTTTTAAAAAGAGTCATGCGTGAAAAGGTAATTAGACGTATATCAACTATTAACAGGGTGTAAATGCTATTAGAAAAACGAACCAAATTCCTTTGAGTAGAGAGCTGAGGTTGAGTTACTTTCCTGCAGAAAACTGCACTGGATGATCTTGTCATATCAAAAGCAATACCTTTGAGACCAGGGGCTGAAGAGTAAGTAGTCTCTTACTGATTCATGTCATATGCTTACATGTAATTTCTAGAACAAGTGGATTGTCCATACTCCTAACTTATATATTAGCTCTCTCAAATGGAAGACGTGTGTGGCACTAATAGTCTCTCGCTGCAGCTTTATTGATGATGCACTGGAAAAAAGTATACGCGTGGTCATGCTGACAGCCTGTAGTAAAATAGGGGAAGAGGTGGCAAGGTACGCGCTCATTCTATGTCATTTGCCAAAAGAAAATATATAGTTTTTTGCAAAAAATGCGAAATAGAGATGCAATTCATTCCTTGTTTGAATTCAAGAACCATCGTAGGAGAGCTTGGAAGTCATAGAGTGTCGAAGATGAAGATAATCGGGGAGGAAGAGGTAAAACAAAGCTTGTACGGCCAACTTGTACTTAGTAAAGATCTCTCTTCTGATCTTGGAGAGCAATTAGCTGAAGAAGCCAATAAAGCTGGTAACTTTTTACCTTGTTTGAAATGGTCATATGATGGCATTCTCAAACATGTTTGTTAGTCATGCTAATCTATAGACTATATATCTGTATGGTCTTGATTCGTGAACCAGTTCCTGCTGAGGAGGTTGCTAATACACCTTCAAGTCAATGGTTGGTACTTGGTACTTTTTTTACTCTAAATTATCAATGAAACGGTTTCCCGACTTGAAGTCTTGATTGTTGGCATTTTATTTTGTTCTTTTTACAGCTTTGAAAGTATTGTCGCCGCACTGCAGGCGGGGGCAGAGTGTGCAGAGACACCAGTCAAAAAGTGCATTGTTGTTGCTGGAAGTCACTCTGTGGTTTCTGCAGCTGAGCGTATTGGCATGGTTTCCATTGTTGTTCGAAGCAGGTACGTACAATGGCCCATGCACCATTTGTATCAAGGAAAAAGCCAAGGTAAACCCACAATTTTGACACCAACATTGATCTCATACTTTGCACAAACAATAACTGTCGGTGTGCAAAGCAAAGCATGGGGTCAATGTTGGTGTCAAAGCTGTGGTGTTACCATAGCACAAATCTGGCAATAATAGCCCTTTTGACATACGCTTGGTTCACTGTTGACCATGTCACTTGACTTGCTTTTGAAGCATGACAGCTAGGGCAGAGTTTGCTGGTGCAAAAGCAGTAATGGATGGATTTGGTGGTTCAGATTTGAGCGTTTCCATGGTACACCGAATGCAGAACTTATAAGCATCTCATGGGAGGAGGTCCCCCCGAGTTGTATGACGGGCGACACAGGGCAGTTCGGGCAGCATGCAACCTTATATGTGTCGTCACTACCCAACTCGGGGTAGCACCGGGTGGACCCCAAAGAAAGGTTTCTTGTTCACTATGGAGTCATGTAATCATAATTGGGCACTTGTTGCTGTTCTGCTACCATCAGCTGTAATTTTCACTTCTATGCTTTCATCATCAGTGAAGAATTTTACTTTGGGCAACTCTCCGGATTGATTATGTATTGCCTCATCATTCATCAATGCTTCAATTGGAGAGTTTTTATAGTACTCTCTATGTTCTATTGGTGATTTTCGTGTCGTCAGTTATTTTATGTAATTGGAGTTTTTTAGACATGTAGTTGGAGTTTTTAAAGTACTCTGTATGTGCATTTATATACAGTTTTTGCTGTATATAAATGGAGTCCCACGGTATGTTTGAGATACAATAGAACTTTCATATTCGTTCTAAAATTAAAGTATTTTGATGTATACTCCAAAAAAACTTTAGTCTAAAAAGTGTGTTGCATGTGATTGGTTAAGTCTATTTTTCATGTTTGTAAAACATTCGCTCTACGTAGAAGCATTGTCTTCTAATTTTCCAACATTGCTCTTCGCTTGTCTCGAGACACAAGATTTAAGAAAATACAAAACTTGTTA